ACGGGAAAATTTCGAAGCCGTGACCGCCACCGCGTACAGGCAGCGCTGGTACCCTGCGATCCTCCTACACACCGACCCGATACCGGCAGTCGATGGCTTAAATCGAGCAGAAACCTGCATCGACGCGATTTACAACGGCCAACTGCGCAACTACCAGAAATAAATTAAAGCCACTCATTCAAAACGTTAACGATGACCACTAACCGAAACGGCAACGTCACACCACCCTACGGGCCGCGGCCTAAACATCGCTAACTGACTCAGAGCGCCCTCCTGGTTGTGGGATCGTGCAAGCCCGATCACTACGCCAACCGCGGACGAGACCGCCTGCACACCTACAGCCACATGAACCCGGGAGAAAGATGCACCGACGTACCACCAAAGCCAGAAGCGCGGGCTCTGCCCGTCCGTCGCCGGCGTCTCGGCGCCTGACAGCGGCTGGCTCCACAGAGCGGGACTGGCACCGTGACGCGGTTAGAGGCGGCCTTCTCCGCATGCAAACCGGCAGAGCAGCAAGACAGCGAGCCAGAGACCGGTTACGCGCGACCGCAGGGCGCGTGCCGCCATGCGTCCTCGGGGCCGCTCCGGCGGCCGGGGGGCGCCAGCGGCGCGCGCGGGGCGCGACAGCGCGTTTGGCGCCTGCCACATCGCCGCCGGCCCCTGCGGCGACCCGGCAGTGCAGTCTCCGGGCCGGAGCGCTCGCTCTCCCCTGCGGCGGACGGGACACACGCGACCCCCAGGGCAGGGAGGGGCAGGGGGTCGTGACGTCAGTCGGCGAAGTCACTCCCCGGCCGGCGCCGCCAACAGCCCTCCCTCCGACGCCCGGTTCGCGGTGGGGTCTCCGTCAGCTGGACGCTCCGCAGCGGGCGCCCGACGTCTTCCCAGCGGGACCCTCAGCAGACGCGGCGAGAGAAGAGACGAGACAGGACAGGACAGGACAGGACAGGACAGGACGCACGGACGGACGGACGGAAGGTGGGCGAAGCAGGATCGACGGGGCCGCGGCGGGGACAGGGCAGGGCCAGGGCGGGCAGGACCGGGCGGCACGCAGACACACGCACACGCACAGCGACCCGAGGCCAGGTCGGGTCGGGTCGGGCCGGAGCGGCATGCACGGACCCGGCCCTGGTGCCGGGGGCAGCACGACGGTGAGGCGACCCTCCAGACCGCTAGCGACTAGGTCAACCCGGGTCAGATCGGGCTCCGGGCGTCAGCGCCTGGGACTACGGCGCCGGTGCCCGGCAGCCCGCATGCAGACGAAGCAGTGTACAAAGAAGACAGGTATACGAACAAAACGTGTCCGGTTGCTGATGCGCACAAGCTTACCCCATCCGAGCCACAGTACTCACAGTTGGGCAACTTGGCACGCGAAAGCGCGGTCCACTAGCTATCGACAGAGAGAACGGGAAACCGGTCAGCCTTCTGGCGAGGACGTCCTCGGCGGCGGCGGCGACGGCCGTGGCCGCCCGCCCCCGCCCTCCAGCGACGCTCACATTCTCTCTCTCTCTATCTCTCTCAGTCTCTCTCTCTCTCTCTTTCTTCCTCTGTCAGGGGACTAGAAATATCACGTGCCGCCGGCCACGGCCGGGCGGCGGTGCGGCGGGGCGAGCGAGCGGCCGCCGCGGCCGCCGCCGCCGGCTCGCCGGCACGGACAGCGGCGCGAGTATCATCATCGTCGTCGGCGGCGGGGTCGGCGCACTAGCGCGCGCGCTGGCGCGGGCGGCGGCGACGGCGCGGGCTCTACCGGAAGATGAAGCGCGGCACCAGCGACGCGGCGGCGGCGGCGGCGGACGGCGGGAACGGCGCCGGCGCGGCCAGCATGGGCGCCGCCGGCGGCGCCGCGAGGTAGCCGGGTGGCAGCTGCAGTCCCGGCGGCAAAAAGGGCGAGCCGGGCGCCAGCAGGTGCGCTGCAACGACACACGGCCGGTCGAGTCAGGCGACGCGCAGGACGGCCACGCCGACGACAACGGCGGCCACGATGGCGCAGCGGCGGCCGGGCGGGCGGTGCGCACTCACCTGCGCCCGGTCCCCAGACTCACCTGACGCCGCCGGCCGGCGCGCCGGCCGGCTCCCGTTAGTGACAGGGGTGCTATCGAGCGGCCATGCGCTACCGTTCCCCTCCACCGGTCAGTCAGGCGGCGCCGGCGCCGGCCAAGCTCCCGTCCCGCGCCCGTCCGCGCCTCCGCGGACCGCAGGCCAAACGGAGAGAGAGAGAGACAGAGAGAAAGAGAGAGAGAGAGACGGAGACAGAGACAGAGAGAGAGAGAGAAAAGAGAGGCGGGAGGGCGTGACAGACAGGAGACAGAGAGCGAGACAAACGCCTACAGCATCAGCCAAGCGGTAACCATGACAACCAGCGGCCGGCGGCCGGCCGGGTGACCGGCGGTCGCCGTCGGGTGCGAGCTGCTGTGCACGACCCCGGCCCCGTGGCCGAGCACACTTATCTGCCCCGGAACGTCTCCACGGCGACTCGCCAAGCGCGCGCGCGCCGCCTGAGCATCGAAACGGGCTAGCCCGCGCGCTCACAGCGGTCTGCAAAATATTCGCTGGTTGGCGACTGCTCTGAGGTGCGGGAAAGCGAGGCGCGCCCAACGGCGCGAGCCAAACCACGACGCAAAGGGCTCCCAAACAGCGGAAACGCCCGGTCGGAAATTGGAGAATCTCCCTGCGCGGAGGACCCCGGCAATGTGGAGGAGCTTGCGCGCGTGCGATCCGTTTCAGAAGTGGTGTTGGCGACGTAGTACGGCGGCGGATACATGGGAATCCCAGTGATTTGGGCTTACGGGGGCGTTTGAAACGACGGCCTATTTCTCAGCTATGCGTGAGAAACACTTCGCCTTCAGGCAGATCTCAGAAATGCTTTTCGACGAGGGCCTCGGATGAATCTGTGATTAGTCTTTGAATGTTTCAATTGTGTTGCAGGTCCAAAACAGATGTGATTGAGCAAAAGTGGTTGGCAAGTATATACGGGTGAATCAGGTTTCATCTACAAGAACTTAAAACACAGAAGACATGTGATCGTGACCAAATTTTTGTCACTCTCACTACATATCTCTTCTGGCAATTTGCCGTTTGCCCTTCTTCACTTTTAAAACCACGATCTTGAGGAAGTTTCTTTGCAGGAACGGAAAAACCAGCTGGTAGTGAACTGTTCGGGCAGTCGTTCCGTTTCGAAGAATTTTACCCCGGAAAGCAAATAACTGAAAAACGGCATGCGCACGGAAATAGCACGGAACACAGGCATGGCTGCCCCTACACTCTCCCCCAATCTAATCATTCATCGTTGTGTAAGGGTGTGCCAAAGGCTGGACTCATTTTGCCCCCGCCTTCCCCCCCCCCCCCCTCCCCCTCTGCACCAATCCCACAACCGTTTTCTCGCCAGTCGCCGTCCATTTTAGTGCCAGTCAGTCATAACACAGGGCGACCGGTGCGCCACCCCCCCCCCCCCCCCCACACACATACACGGAGGCCCTTATCCCACCTCCCGGCTCTCATCGATGAAGCGCACAAAAAACGCCACGTCCATGTACGGCGAGATCAGCGGGCGGTGACCGGGACTCGAACGCAACGGCGACGGAACCACTTCACAGGAGGGGGCGGCGAGACGGACCTCAGCGTCTGCCAGACCCGGAGGGGGGGGGGGGGTCTGGGGACCGACGGGCGGCCTGCTGAGGATCAAGCACGCACATATGAACGACACACGCACGCACACACCCACGCCGGCACAGGGACAGCACCAGAACGGCAGCGGTCAGACCAGCGGCGAGGTCGAGCTGGCCACGCTCGGCGGCCGTCACTCACCGGCGCCGAAGGGCGGCCGGGCCAGCAGGAACTGCTGCGGCTGCGGCTGCGCCATCAGCTGCGGCATCTGCTGCATGGGCGGCATGGCCAGCGAGTAGCCGGGCCGCAGCAGCTGCGGCATCTGGCGGCGCACGGCGGCGGCCGACCGTCAGACGGTCCGCGTCTCTCTCGGACGGCCCAGGGCGGCTCGGAGACCACGGGTGACCGCATGGCAATCCGTGTAGCTCACTCGTGAACCGACACTAAACAAAACATACGCGACGTACGTCGTCGCGCGCCCTTTTATGGTACAAAGCCGACCGCACGTCCATCCCCCCCTTCCACCCCCCTCCCCCTTGCGATCTCGCGCATGACCTGAGTGTCACAATGTGTCGACGGCATTCGCCGGCGTGGCCTCTGGCTAGTGCCGGCGCCGCCCGCGGCCTACCTGCATGGGCATGGGCGAGGCCTGGCTGACGAAGAGACGCGGCTGCCCGGCGGCGCCCATCAACGACGCCAGCGACATGACCGGCTGCGGCGCCATCTGCGCCTGCGCCGCCGCCGCCGCCGCCGCCGCGCGCACCTGCTGCTGGTACTTGGCCAGTTGGCTGCGCCGCTCCTCCTGCAACAGCGGCGCCCGGTCAGCGATCGACCGGCGCCCGCCGGTCGTGCAGCGCACGGGCGGCGGAGGGCCGCCGCACGGACGGACGCGGTCCGCCCGCGGCAGCCGGCGAGGCCGAGACAGCGTCTCCCGCCCGCCACCCGGCAACTCGGCCGGGCGCTAGCTAGACAAGCCGGACGCAGTCTCGGGCCGGGCATTTAGAGAAAAATCCACGTCGGAGTGTCCTGCCACCGAGTGCTGCCAGCCACACCGCCAGTGAGCCGCGAGTGACAGAGCCGGCCAGCCGCTGGCCACACGCCACACGTCCGGACAGTCGGCCCGGCCGAGCATCAGGCAGCACGGAGCCGGGCGGCCGGGACGGCGCGCAGCCGGCAGCCGCTCCGCTACACAACCGGGCAGCCCTGCAACCGACAGCCGGCCAGCCCGAAAGCCTTGCGCGGGACAGCCAGACACCCCTGAAGCCGGAGAGCACAGGCCAGCCGGACCTCACTACTGCCGGGGAGACGCGGCCGGCGCCACATGCAGAGCTGGGAAAGCCGGCCGGCCGGCCCGCTGGCTGGCCGGACCGGGCCGGGCGGGCACTAGACACGCTGGCGCCAATCCGGACGCGGGACACCACACGGCCGGCGGCGGGCGCGCGGGCATGCGTCGCGCCCGCCGCCGGCAGACCACTACGCACACGTGAGCGGCACACGGCAGCCGGTGGCCGAAGCAGCGGGGCGGCGCCGCCACACGCACGGCGGCGCCGCTCAAAGCCGGGCGCGGCCGGCGCGCGCGTGCGGGCCGCGCCGCCGCCCGTTAGTAAGCTACTCAGGCGGCGCGGGGGGCACAGAGAGGGCGCCGCTGGGGCGCCGGCGCCGCGTCCGCGCGCACGCGCGCGCACAGCTCGCTCTGAAAACAGACGGACATTAACGCTGGACGATGTGGTCGTGGCGGGCGGACGGGCGGGCGGACGCGAACGCTGTGGGCGCGTGCGCTCGCTGTCCGTGTCAGACACGGCAGTGCCGGCTCCCGTCCTCGCGGACGTGACTGAGAGGCAGGCGCGGACGGGGTGCGCTCCGCACCAGCAGCACGTGCGCTGGAAGCAGGCCTGTGGCCGCTCAACGCCCCTATCCAAATGGGGGACACTACGCCTGAAGAAGCGCTCATCCGATCCCTCACCCCACCCCCAACCCAAGTGCGGAGCGGACACACGTCCCTTACTCTAGCGGAAGATTACTGTGCTTTTCACCCACCATCCTGACACCCCTTTGTGGGACGGGCACCGCTCGTCACCAACACCAAACCGGCTATCTGCTCCCCCATGTGCAAACGCCACCGACTGATCCCAGACAACGATGCGGAATTTTTAGCCCAGCTACGAGACATCGGAATGCGAAATCGGCGAAGTGAGTTCCTCCCACGCCGGTTGATTGGCGCCCGAAGCTTAAGGGCGCATCGGCAGCGCGCTCAAAAAGCCAGAGCACCCGCCCCGCTGTATGGCAGGGCGTGAGAACTGCCCAGCCCAGATCGGAGACTGTGACGCACCGGGAGAGATTCTGCGGGTCGGCGTCGTCCCCGGCCGCGGTCTGCACAGAGCTGCCAGGCAGCGACCGGCGGACAGTGTAACCCCGCAGGCAGCCACCCTGCACACTCCGCCCACGATTCAAAACAGACACCTCGCTGTGGGCGGCACCGTGACCAGCGCGCGCCGGCGAGCGAGTCCCAGCGCCGACACCGGCAGACAGCTGCCGTTCCCGGCGGAGCAGCTGGGGCGCCACACACGCTGGTGGTGACCATCCCCACACCACCACACCGGGTGCACCCCAACCCTCATCTCCGCCTCCCCTCGGCACCGGCCGCGTCGCCGTATGGCTCACCTCGGCGGCCAGGGCGGGCGGTGGCGTTGGCGGCGGCGGCGGCGTTGGCGGCGTTTGCGGCCGCGGCGGCGGCAGCGGCGGCAGCGGCGGCTGCCACGCCTGGCGAGGCTGCCGGTCGCGGTCGGTACCGCTGGTAGCGCGGCAGCCGCAGTCGGCTCTCCTCCTGCGGCCGGACGGCGGATCACGGTCACGGTCACGGTCACGGTCACGATCACGATCACGGTCACGGTTACGGCCACAGTCACGGCCAGAGCCAGTCGTGGTCAGGTCGAGGTCGTCCCACAGCATGCACATGCTACATGACACGGCTAAGTTAAGGTCAGCGCAGTTCAGGCCGAAGCAGGCAATGACAAGATCAAGTTCCAGTCCCGTTTGACGCCGGGTCAAGGTTAAACCACGGCCAAGGTCATCCCATATGCTGTACAGCGCGCACCGCATGTTAGCACAAGGCCACGCCAGGCCATGCTGCACTGTGAGGTCCGAGTGTGTTCGACTCACCAGCGAAATATCCTCGTCCGGGTGCACAATGCGGCTAGTGGCGCCGGCCGCCTGCTGGATCAGCGCCGGACGCGCGCCGCCTGACGAGCTGGACGTGGTGGCGCCACCCGCCTTGGACGAAGCGGCGCCCGCCTGGCTGCGGACGAGCGGGCGGCGGTGTCAGCCAACGGCGACGAGCGCGCAGCCCGGCCTGGCTGGGACAGCGGGCCGGACGGCGCGCCCCTGCGGCCGGCTAGCATGCAAACTACGGCGATCTACACCCATAGCACCGCGAGAAGGTGGGACACATCGGCCACCCGCGTTAGAAAGCCACGATGCTGCACTTACCGGCGACAGCGCAAGCGCGACATTGAATCAGCCCACAAACTTCAATCGGTACCACCGCGCGTGGACGTCTCCCGCGCTGGCGAAAGTTTCCTGCGATGGGAACCGAACCGCAAACCTACCTGTACGCCGGGAAGGTGGAGCGCGACGCGGCGGTGCTGCTCAGCGGCGTCGGCGACGAGCCCTGTCGACAACGGCTCTGGTCACGCTCAACGCCGTCCGTCGGGCGTAAAGACGAGCCGCGCCCCCGCGACTCCCGAGACCCCCTCAGAGATCATCACACAAGTCACGCCGTGCTCCCCCGCACGCCGGTCGGCTCCCACTCGCCGCCGGAGCCAGGCGGCGGGCAGCCGGCAGCCGCCCGGGCAGCTGACTTCACAGCGGGAGGGTGGCGACACGCCGCAACTGCAGCTGAACCACAGCACCTCACAGTATCATCGCAACGGCGCCGAGCCGGCTCCGTCTCTCCTCACTCCTCTCGCGACGACTAGACGTGGGTCCGACGCCGGCCGCGCGGCCACGGACCCTCTCCCGCCCAGCATCCTGCTCCGTGCCACACTCCGCCACCAGTCGCTGCCGCACCCACAGCTGCGACGGCCACCCGGGCCGCGCGCCGCCGACACTAATGTCGACTCGCACGGCACGGCACGGCATGGCACGGAGCCGTCGGCGTGCTGACGACAGCCCGGCCGCCTGCGAGCGGACGCCGACCGAAATAGCCGGGCGCCGGCGCCACCGGGACACGCTTCCGCTACCGCTGGCTGCCGCCGCGCGGAACCCGGTGTCAAGAGCGGCGTCCAGGCGCCGCGGTATGCCGGCGGCTCTCGCGGCCGGCCAGACGGGCGCCGGCGCGTCACAGCTTCGATCGGAGAGCGCGCGGCGCCCTTCGGATTCGGGCGTCGGCCGACACTCCGCAACCTGGCCCAGCACGACGGCAGCAAAGGACACAGAGCGGGCCACACAGAGACAGAAGCATGGAAGGCAAGCACTTCACTCCTACCCGAGCAGCGATGTGACGTCGTGTGTGGGTGGCCGGGCCCTTGTGAGCGGCAAAGCACCGGGGTTTCTTATCACGGTCGCACTGCGAGCTAATGAAGACGGCTACGGAATAATACGTGAAAGCGACTAAGGGTTGGTACGTAACACAAATATCGTAACGATATGTTTCGAGCGTTGTTAACGTGAAATCTTCCTTCAGGCGGCCAAAATGTAGTGGTAAAAGGCACAGACTGGGTGCTCCAAAAAACAAACACCAAACGCTGCGCAGGAACCAGACACGCGCATGCATCTCAAACACAAAAGTGCTATCATCCAAGAAACGGACGGTGCAGCGGAAACCAGTCCTCCTAGTGCTGACCAGCCGCCGCCGCATGCATTGTCACAAACGGGCGCGGGCTCAACACGAAAACGAACGGCGTGCGGCGCTCCACCGACACGGCGGCGGCCGCGCGGCCCAAGAGACCGTCACATCGAGCGTGGGTACCTGGTGCACCGGGCCCCACCCCCACAGGCGGCGGGGCGGAGAGCCGGGCCGGCCGCGACGTCACACACACACGCTACGCTGCCCGCAGCCGCCTGCCAGACAGACACACGGCCGACGGTGACGGGGGGTCACGCGGCGGTCACGGCGCGCGGCGGCGCGGCGCGGCGCGGCCGCGGACGGCAGCCGTCGACGGCACGCGGACGTGCTCAGGGGGAGGGGAGTGTTTGCGTCCTGTGGTGGCCGCTCGCCACGCGGAAGATAGTGGCTGGTTGTGGCGCGAATACGGTTGAAGCCGCATTGTGGTATAGATTGAGTTGTGGGGTCAGGACATTGAAACTGGACATCACAACTTACATAACATTGATAAGAGCCAACTGACGGCCGTCTACCTGGAAATCGTGCTCACGAACGCCCGACATGGCCGACTCGACAACTGTATTTGCTGGGTCTTGATCGCCACATGGCTTATGTAACGGCTGGATTTGAATACGTTGCTGTGACGTCACGGATGCCAGGGCAACCTTGAAAAAGTCTGCACAGCTTGGCAGGCGTCTAACTCAGAAACTGGAGGGGTTGAGGTCTTAAGAAAGGCAGGGCTGTGACTACGCCGAATAATCTTTGAAATGGCCCTTTCGGTTCAAAATTCCACACAAATGTGGAACACTCCCTTCAGTACTCGATTCGAGCTAAAAATGTATCAACTTGATAAATCAGTAATGTTAATTTCTTCAAACCGGGGGGAGCGGTGTCATGCCTACCGTCAACGGCTCGCGGGAGGGGGGGGGGGGAGGGGGGCAGCTCAACCTGTCAGCAATGACTCTGGATAAACATTGCGACGTAGCTGCTGTCAGCACACGATGAAGTCATGATTTCAATACACCCTCCTCGCCTTGTGAGATAATAGCACAAGCCTCCTCACACACCTATGTCACGGGATTTTATCAAAAAGGAGGCCAAGGACAAGTTCAGTATAAAACCATAATGCAACGATATCCTGGACCAAGAACCCCACAATGCTTCTCGTCCTTGTGGACAGCTCCAGTCGCGCCACCGGTCATCAGGCATTCACCAGCTATTTGCACGGGGGCCAACCAACCCACAGGCCCCGAAACATCCAACCCACCTCTCCGTGCAGACCTCCCCAGCCCCGGTCACTAATGCTTCACCGCGCCCTTCCACGAGCGAACGCTCTCCGTCCGGCCAGCGCCAGCAGGCTCCAGCCCGGAGCGTCACCGACCCGTCTCGCCTGACGGCGCGCCGCCTCGCCCGCACCTCCCAGAGCAGAGCACAGTCCACCCCAACTCTGCGCCGCGGCGAGGCGCCTCGGGCGTCGCCAGCCACTGACCTGCGCCGACGGGAAGAGGGGCCGGCCGGCGGTGTGCGTCATGCCCAGCGGCATGCCCGACATCGGGCCGAGCGCGCCCATCGGGCCCATCATGCTGTCGGCGGCGGCGCGAGAGCACAAGGTCACCCCACACGCCGAGGCGGCCATAAGCGTAAGTGTAGGCAGATGGCAGTGCAACCAATGCTGACAGCTGGCAACTGTTCCGAACACGACACAGGACGGCACAACGCCCGACGAAACAGTGCACCGGGCCTGGGTCATTGGTTTGACAAGCATCACAAACACACCTGCTCGAGCGCCAGACCCGGTCGGACCATGCACGCCCACACGGCAGGTGGCAGATGACAACAGCCGACATAGCCGTACAGTGCCGACAGAGCGCCATGAGCTCGCTGCTGTAACACCCGACAGGAGATCCGTCCCGTACACTGACCCGGGCAGCATGTAGGGCGCCATGGGGCCGATCTGCGCCACCTGGCCGAGGCCGGCCGCGCCGGGCAAGCCGGGCAGCGCCGGCAGGCCGGGCAGCGCCGGCAGACCGCCGGCGAACCCGGCCGGGCTGGGCGACACGGGCGTGGACGGCTTGCTGCCCGGCTGCGGCGCGTCCGGGCTGGCCGCCGGCTCGCCTGGCAGCGCGGGCAGCCGGTGAGGGGGCGGCGCCGGGACCGGGTCACGCGACCGGGCACATAGGTGGCGACTGGAGCTGGTGGGGCTCGCAGCAGATGAAGAGCCGAGAGCCGCAAGGTAGCAAACCTGCACACTTGATATTTAAAATGAGCAGAACAGACCACTGCCTGTGCCCACTGATGATCAAAACCACATGTTATTGTACCAGCAGCAGCATTCATCACAGACAGAACTCTGCCAAGTGAGGCCATGATGGTGCTTCAACAACTCTGAATCAACGTGACAGCAAAGCAAACACCACATTCCATATCATACACACTACTGCAGCTCCTACACCATGCATATGCCAGAAATTACCAAGTCACCGAAGCTATGCAGCCAAAGAGCCAAATGTTAGCACCCAGATCGCGAACATAACATCTGAGTCCGCCTGCCCAGACTTGTTGTTTGTTCATGGGCCTTGAGGTCATCTTCAGGGATGCCTCCATGCCATAATATCTCGATCTCAATGTGGTTCCGGTTGGGTACAGCATTGGGCACCTTGTCAACCGTCTCCTTGTGCACCTAGGGGGTGGTCGGCGAGGGTAATATAAGCTGCAGTCAGCGCACCTTCCAAACAGGTCACAAGCTACTAAACACATGCACACAACCATTGCATTAAGTCAGGATGACCCCAAAAATGCTGCAAGCATGAAATGTTGCAGGGGAAATAATTACAATCACCAGAACCTGTGAGCTTTGCTGCAAGCCGTGGTGCATATCACCTACCTGCATACCAGTGAATAGACAGGCCTGGACCTGTGTAAAGCTTCTTGTGGCAGATATGGCACTTGAAATGCTTGCTTCTGGTGCTGGATCAGATCTTCTCATCATCAAACTCCCGATTGCAGTACCTGCATGGCTGGTCAAGGCACTTAACAAGCATTTGCACTACAAAGACAGGATCTAACGGCCTAAATGACAATGGGAATGCACCATGCACATGGTGCATGCATGGTTCTGTAGCGAAATCAAGACTTAATGGAAACATGGCACTGAGTAAGGCATATTCTTTCCATTCCTTTCTGTTGGTGATCAGATCAGGTAGGACATTCAAAATTGCAGTTGGGGTACAATAAAGCACATATGTGGATACACAGACACCAGCCAATGTAATGAAATACTTGATGTACTAAAAGCTATCACAATTCCTCAAAATATGTCTTTTGCATCTCTATGAGTTGACAGCCTCATCAAATTCTGAGCTATCAGGTTTATTTTATTCACTGAAATTGCTGCTGGAATGTTGCTGTTTGGACTGACATGTTCAGCAAGCATGTATTTTTGCAGTCTGACCTGAAAAATACACTTTAAATGAATGACAGTAATTTAATTCTAATTGGATCAGCAAAATTGAAAGGCCGACATTCTGAACCACCTTTCATCATGCCCAGTTCGCAGTGAAGAGGATTTACAAGGACAATTATGTATAATGTTTGACATGACCTGTACACTGGTGCTTCAGCAAACCATGCCTTATTTTCTCAAGCTATTACATAGTACATGCTACACCCTGCAATGATCAGTGCTGGAACAGATGCCACTCATAATTTTGGTGATGACACTCCAGATCAAGTGCAAAGTGCAGTCAAGATGTTTGTGTCAGTGCTGGGACGGATGCCACTCATAATTTTGGTGATGACACCAGATAAAGCGTGAAGTGCAGTCACAATGTTTGTGGATAACGTTAAGATATACTGCCATGTCCTGAGGCCCTGACTGACCCTCCTCTGAAGGCTGATGTCAATGCCCAGACCAGGTGGCCACAGAAGTGGCAGCTCCCCTTTCATATCACAAAGTGCAGTCAGGCACATCAGGAACGATAGTCAGACTATCTCAATGGTGGTCATGAGGTGACAGCAGATTATCATGAAGCCAACCAGATGCTGGCAGTCATGAGGGGTCATTTGCCACATATTGATCTGGGACATGCTCACATGGCTGGAGCAGATTCAGTGCCAAACAATGCATCTTGTTCAAGCGAGGCACCAGTCATACCCTGAGAGGCTCAAACTCCCCCAGTTTCCCTCCAAGTAGCTATGGTTGCCATAGGGGGACATGGTTACAGTGTGTCAACTGCTTCACAGAGGCATGCCACTGTCAGAGGATGAGTTCCTGACCAGACACAATACAGAGGTGACAAGAGGACACCAATGAAAGCTAAGAAAACCTCCAGCTATAACTATCATCCATCATAACCCATTCAGCAACCCACAACCTTTTCTTGCTACCATAACTGAGAGCTTCATCCCAAGCTCAGCTGACTTATTAAAATACTCAGCCAACTAGCCTACCAGTCTTCAAGTAGCTGTCTTTTCAATCTGGCATAATAACACCTTATACTTCTGTGGCAAAAGAATAAGATGACACAATGCAGCTGGTTTCCATTACTAGCTGACATACTGTGAACTAAAGAAGTACTTGTCTTTAGTCTTACAAACATTGCCTTATGCTGACTGACAATGCGAGGTGACATTAAAGCTAACAAGAGGCTTTCTAATCTGACCCATTCTTGTCATCTAATCTAACTTTTGTAGCTACAGTAAAAATCAGAAGTGTCCGCACAGTACACAGGATATATCCTTCTCTTTCCCTGAAAATGGGCAAAGGCATTCCATCAACATTAGGCATGTGTGGCGAGCCAGAACAACTGCAGACCTATGACCACCAACACTGTGTTCAGTTCTTTGCACCTGCCAGGCCATTTTCTGATGGTTGGCACAGAATGGTGGTGGTGGGGAAGGCGGATGAGTCTCACTACAGGTCCAACAAAGATAACAAGGCTCAGCCATCTTCTACCCCTCAGGAATTCATTATAAAGTTACCTATCAACATCAACAGCATTCAAGGCTTCAAAATTACACACTGCAGACCACATCTTTTAAAGGATACCAGCACCAGGGCTTTTGTTGCTTCTTCTTTTTCCGACCCATGCTATTAAATACTCCTGATGAATGGGAGCTTGAGGTCTTCACAAACTACGCTTGGCACCAACTTGGCATGAGCCAACCAACATCTAGTTGCGAGTTTAGTGGGTTATATAAGATCACCCAATCGACAACACCCGTCCATTAACCGTATATCACCAACCACAGACTTCTGAAACCACCAAGGACAAATAAACTCCAGGACTGCCCCAGGGCCTCACTGCCACCCAATGAAAACCGGGATCATGGCGTCGGGCGACAGTGCGCATGCGTAGAGAAAAACTTCCCGGATGCTGAATAGAGAACCCAGTTTTGATTGATCCTCCCACATTCAAAACCCCTTTAATCCAAAAATCAAGCGTAACGATAGGAGATAATTTCAACCAGAACTCATTTCTATCAAAATAAAGTGACAAAGTAAAAAAGCAATTAGAAGTTGATATTATACAAATCTGCTTTTCCAGTTCGTCACTACAATTGTCTCATAAGAGCTGGTGCGCCACTTTGAGGCAAGCGCCTGCAAACTCTCCGTTAATGGCATATATTGAAACGTTGGTAGAGTTAAGCATGACCGCCTGAAAATACACCATGAGCGTGGTGCAAACAATGTCTAACTACCGCCTACCACACTACGGTGGGATTACGGACCACGCGCGGGTACGAAGTCATACACGGTCCTATCTGTCAAATAGATCTGTAGAATCATCGCTGGCTCTCAAACTGGGAGATATCAATTACATGAGGGAATATTCGCAAAAGGGGCTGGGAGAAGGGGCTGAGCAGCTTAAAAATGACTTAATCTACCCCAGAAAACCATGGGCGCAAGAACAGGGAGGGGGGGGGGGCAGGGGCCATGGCCACCCACTTTTCAAGGAGGGAGGGGGCCAGGAGTGTTACCGCCCCCCCCCCCCCCGCCTACTTTTCAGATTAAGGCTTTGTTTAGGTTGCTTTTGCACCACATTTAAATATACATGCCGATTTACCTAGTTCACCAGCCATCTTCCCCAAGATGCGTCATCCTTTTCGTTGCTTGTTGGTCATCGCTTAGTGTCACAGCCTCAGGCCGGCACCACTCGTCCTATGGAGACTGCAAAGCCGGGCGTTCAGGCCGTTGTTGCTATGACTTGCGAGCGCGTATGTTCAAAACCATATAAGTGCCCTTGGTGTCCTACTCAAGGGGTCTCTTGCCCGGAAGGAAATAAGGGGCCTCACTATTGTTCAGTGGAGCTGAGGTCTCATTACTATTGAACAGAATGGGTCAAAATGATTTTATTTTTAAAAACGAACAAGGCTCTCCCATGTTTGCCTAAGAACGCTCATTTTTCAGAATGTCTTATGAAAAAAGTGCATCAAAAGGTTTGAATATGCCCACCCGCAACCTCGAGAGTAAGGACAGCGATGGTCTGGGTTGCAGCTTCGGTAAAACCGAACGACGTCGGCCACTGCAAGTGCCACCAGACGACGGGCGCCGTGTTAATCTGCCTTCTGGACAGGTTAATAGGTACAGAAACACGAAAAATAGAAAATCTTCCTTCATTCTTCCAGTTCTACCGCCAGATTCCAAGACCACTTCGCGGTGCTTCAAGGGCCAATCTGTTCTTATCATCAGTCTAAAAATCGAACACGTGAAATATCCGCCCAGACAGCCTTGTACATGTAAGATCAGATATTCTGAAGCGTTCAAAGGTACTTCTTTCACAAGCGTCATCATTTTTGTCCACTCGTTGGCCACGGCTCAATACTAGCTGTTGAGCCGACGCTATGCGGCCTACGGAGACTGCAACGCCTGGCGGCGAAGTTTTTGTTGCGAAGATTTGCGAGCACGCATATTAAAAACCGCGTGGCATAAATTGTATCACTAATCGATTTTAATTGAATGTTTAACATATCCAGACAAACATGGCTTGGCGATGTTAATACACATTGTTGACCACTCGATCTACAACAGAAATTGTCACCCTCAAATTTCGATCAAACATATCGACCTACAATCTACCTTAGCGATGTCCTCAATGTCTGTAGAACACAGGTAAAACATTATGAAAAAGCTTCTAAATTCTATCGGTTTCGAAAGAGTCCATTAAGCCATTGTAAATTAAGGACACCGGTGGCTTATTCCATGTGGTCGTTAAACGCCTGATTTCTGCAGTTTATTGGCCTTAACAGGTTTTCGGGTGGGGGTCAAAATGATTCACCACCCAAAGTTTTCTCCGGAATGGTTTCCGAACGGCGCGGTGGAGCCGCGCTATATTTTGCATAGCTATAGACAAGTGAATAGCTGATGGTTTGCCACAAAAAATTAGATGTACTTTGTAAGGTCGCTGACCTATGGCAGGACAAAGTCCGGCCACGTTTTCGGCGAAGTCAAATTCTAGGGAATCGTTCAATCTGATGCAACAATGGAGTGTTAGATGACGCCATACATCTCTGAGATGCTTCCTTGGGCAACACAATTATTGAATGAGCAAATTACGTTGACCTAAGGTCAGATATAAAAGTCAGACCAAGCCCACAACTAACCTGTTACATTACTCTAGGGCTTGCTGCATGGGATAGTTTCCGGTGCTCCTTTCGAATTTATTGATAGCAAGAACCGTATTACACATATTCCATAGACTTCTTAGAGGTCAGAATAGATCCTTGGCCTAAGATGATGTCGGTCAACATTTTGCTTTTAGAAACCTACTGGTTAGCGTAATCTTTCTCGCTTATTCAGATGCAAAACTCAAAACATTCTTATATGATTTTGGTCACCATGACCTTCAAGAGGTCAAACAAGGTCAATGACGTTAAATGAGCATGTGATGTTTTGCTTAGAAACAGTGATCTAGGTTCGGGGGCACTGTATAGACCAACCTATAATTTGACCTTGTTCGACCTTATTTGACCCGAAAGTCATGACCAAGGAACCTCAAACTTTGACCTAAGTGGGTTCACACCCTGTGAATTTGGTGTATCTAGCTCTCTTAGTTCCCGAGATCTCAGGGGGTCGAATTGACCCCTCACCCGAGCGAAGGGTATCTAGCCGGCCACCCGGGCGCGTGTAAAAAAAAATGTAAACGCAATTGATTGCACGGTAGCTTCTGGCTTCTGTTTTGGTTACAACGTAGAAATAACGATGAAACGAAGAAAACCGCAGCCCTTGTTAACAAGTAAACCAAATCTGGGGATGTTTTTGTGGGGGGTCACCATAAATGGTTTTTTGTTAACCCTGTGTTCCTCTTGGCAAGGCTCTGGCTAACCCCTGCCTTCATACAAAAACAGATCAAGTCATATTCGTTGAATGACGGGCAATAAAATGTCCGTTGGGCCAATGCATACCTAAAGTAGGCAGCTTCCCGGCGGCACTTTTCTGGGGTAGTGTGGTGTAAGGGAAGATAATTCGGAAAAAGGTACTGCTGCAGGTGTCCAATACATGCTTTACATCCCAATTAGTAGCAATGCTGATTAAGAAAGGTGCAACCAAGCAGCCATACCATCAGATCGCGGTCAGTCATTTGGAGACAGCAGGACCAGGGGAGTGGCCACCGACGGCGGACGGGAGCAGAGCTCAGGCAAGGAACATTTGACAGAAGGGCCGTCATTCTATGGCTTGGTTTTCAAAGGAGAATCTGCAGTTTTACGGCTTTTGTCACACGGTTTTTCGCAGTTTCAAGCTACCGAATTTGTTTCCACCTAAAATGTCGCGACATATCTTATCTCTGGAAAACCAGCCAGCAAAATGAAGGTGCATGCAAAACCTGTTGTAATGTGAGCCATCGATTCACGTTCAAATTTCTCGCCAGCCTATGCTCGGGCCATATTTTGGCCTATACCCTGTGGAGATAGATGCCACTCAATGACCTAAAATGCCTTCCCGCTCGTGGAATTTCGGCTCCCCAGGAAAGACAATGTTGAAATGGACGAACAATCTTGGCAAGCTGAATAGCCTTATTTTCCGAATGACAAAGATGAACAGGACAAGCAAAAGTGTGCACCAGAGAGAAAGTGCACTAGTGCACCAATGGGTACCAGTGCACCAATGTGCACCACTGAAAAACAGCTCCGGATGCATATCTGGAATCAGTCATTACATTTGAATAAAGAGCGATAACCTCCATCTCTACCCCTCCCTCCCCCGTTCATTAGGCTTGTTTTCAGGAAAAAGTTCCTGAAGTACGCCCTGAGCTTGGACCCTACTTTTTGAAACGTTCCTAAGCCTATGCAGAAAACACCAACAATTGGAATCGGACCCATTTGGACATGCCCACGTCAGTACCAACTGGGCTGCTCAAGTGAACCCCATGTTGGTTCCAATTTGGCCCCAGGCGGACTGCCCATGCGGGACCCAGTTAGTTGCCCATGATGTGCCCACATGGGGCTAGAGTGAGCAGCCCAGATGGCTCTCATGTGGCTATCCATCTTTGACCCACATGGGTCTCAGTTGGACATGCTGGCTGGGCCCACTCCTAAATGGCGCACAATGCCTACCCTCTCGTAGAATTCAAGATCGCCTCCCAAGGAAAATCAATGTTGAAATGAACGAATGATCTTAAGAAGCAGGATACTTATAGTTGTTAAATTGCAACAACAGCAACCGCGCGGCGTTTAATCATTTGCAAAATGCGTTACGTGGATAATGAGCGGAAAATGTCCTCCGTCTCTGCGCCCTCCCTTTCCGACCACCGGGCTTGCTCACCAGAGAAAGTTCATTCAGTATGCCCTGAGCCTGACACCTCACTTTTTGAAACATTCCTACGCCCTCATTGGCAGATTGTAGTTTATACTGTTTGAACCACGGCAGTAGTAGTTTATACTGTTTGCACCACGACCGTGATGTATTTTAAGGCCCTCATGTTTAACAAACACAATATTTCAATATATTCCCGCTCGCAGGGCCGCGTGATTTGTGTGGTAGGTCGTGGGCAAGCCAAATTTTTGGGACGTCTGTGGAGGGTAGGAGGGCCGTTCAATTTTGTGTCCCTTTTACACCACTACAACAGCGTTCACCACTGTTGTGTAGGTCTTGGTGTGGCAGTCATGTGGTAGCAGGTCGGCGGCGCGGCTTCTATGTGGTGGTAAACGGTGGTACGTTTCCGCATGTCTACTAACAACAGTCCAACAATTTAAGTCATTTCAACCATTGGTTCATATAAATGGTCTGGTGCTGGTCAGATTCCTACTCCCATTCTATTTGTGTGTCATTCTATTTTTAGCTTGTTCTCTGTGAATGGTGCACTTTCCTCATCGCAGGTGTGTAGGATGTGTAATCTGGTGGTCCATGAGGCATGTTGTGCATGTTGGATGTTTTCAACCCTGCCCCCCACAAAATGTAAGACGTATGCTGGCCAAGAACCTGTTATTATCTGATTATGCTGTTCCAGCATTTTTGAGGCATCAGCCTTATTTGCAACCTCACCTGACTAGAGCATTACGTGTGTATGTGTTCGGGGCAGGGTTCTGTCAGCCCCAACATCTCATTGGCATTTCTGCAGTAGTTATAGGCTAGTTCAGGATGATGCAAATAATAGTATGAAAAACTCAAGTCCTTCTGGTATGACATCTTTGGAGGAGTCCCACAGGGCTTATTTCTTGGTTAATGTGTTTTAATTGATAATATCATTGGCAATTGCCTCAACATTATTTTTAAATGGACAAAGATATAAATATGTTCCAGACAATGAAATTCAAACTGATTAAAACCTGCTACAGATGGATTTCAACAAGCTTATTGAATGTTGTGCCAATGAGCAGGTTTAACAAAGTTGTGTTATTTTGCAGATTATCCATCAATTGCTAGTAACCTGGTCCATTACTGCAAGATCTCTGCCCCAAGATGACAGACTATGCGGCAAAGCTGCTCAATGAGCTGATGGACGAAGCAGGAACCTGATGCCCAATGAACAGGAAAAGAAGCTAACATGGGACTCACCAGAGGTAATGCTGCTCATTACTTCAGGGGTTTGAGATTTGCAGACCTGGGATTCTCCAGAGATAATGCTGCTCATGACTTCAGTGAGTTTGAGATTTGCAGACCTGGGATTCTCCAGAGATAATGCTGCTCATGACTTCAATGGGTTTTAGATCTGTAGATATGGGATTCTCCAGAGGTAATGCTGCTCATGACTTCAGTGGGTTTGAGGTCTGCAAAGCATTCTTTTAAGTTTGAAAGAGAACTCATTGTGATACATTTACCCATGCTTACAGGTGTATGTCCGAGATAATCATGGGCAAACTGGCAGTTCAAACTGCATTGCACCTGTGTGTGGATGCTATAGCTTAGTGGTGGACTGATACACAGGCCTTGAGAGCAGTGTGGTATGTTGAAGGCAGTTGGGATCTTCAAAGCATAGACATTGTCATGTGTGTGAGAGTGGCATTTAGTATGCCTGCCTTACTTTATTGTTCATTTGTTATTGTTAAGGTCATTGATAGGCCCATAACTTAATTTGCTGAAGATATTTTGTGTGCTGGTGATGAATGCATTTTGCCCAAAAGCAGTGGTATTTGCTGTGCCAGAACACATACCTCTATGTGCGTTGATATGAATGTAACTGAATGATGTGTTGTGATGCCCCCTAAAACATAAGTTCAACATTCCTCAAATGTGAACACTCCCCTCTAACCAGCATGCTGTCAACAGATGTGTCATCTGTTCCTGGCCAAGATCTGTCCACATGAGCTGTTCACCAACACAAAGGCTGACCTGGGCTCATGCGGTGGCATTCACGATGACGATGTGAAGGTGGAGTTCGACAAGCTCCCCAGCTTCAAACGGCAGGCCTACGAGGATGAGTTCATCCGCTTCTGTCAGGTCAGGTTTAGGAAGGGTGCAGGAGGGAAGGGTGTTTGGAGACTGGTGGTGTGACTCCTCACCCTCTTGTCTCACCCACAGAGCAGAGCTGTGGTGTTCCTTGGTGTGCCACTTCTGTTAAGCTCAGTAAGGTGTGCTTTCAAATCCTGGTTGTGTCATTGGGCGCTGATGCGGCCGGACCGTCGCGTTCGTGGTCGTTCCATAAAGGGCTCTGGATGTTTCTCACCTTGTTGCATCTTGTTTAAAAAAGACAAAATGTTAGGAACCAACAAACCTTTGTACATTAAACAATGGCATGCACAACTTTAGATATAAATTACGGTGATCATTGGTAAGATCTGAAATAGAGCATCAGTTAAAAGCAATCAGTTGGAGGAGTAATGCTGATGACGCTTGAGGCGCTGCAAGACCCACAGCAGTCGATGCGCCCCAAAACTAATCATCCAAATCAACCAAATCATCATGTTTGAAACCTTACTTTCATGCTTTGACCAGTTCCTTGCATGGTAATACAGGTCATTTAATGAGTCGAAACCATGGCAAGCCACAAAACGTTGCCTAGTTTCCAGACCCAGTAGTTTCTAACTAAATGACTTCTGTACAGTCAATGCTGAATGAAGTGGAGAAGAAAATCAAGAAGCAGCGACAGCGTCTGGAACTGCAACCCAACGACCACAAGTTGTCATCGCTGGTACCTCCCCAGTTCACGCGTCACGAGGACAAAATCGGCATGCTCACCGACAAGATCAACAAACTCGTCTCCGAAGTGGAGGAGCTCGGCTGCAAGGGACAGGTGCGTGACTGGCGCAGCAGGCTGCTGGGGTCCAGCCTACACTCAGTGCTCAGTGGTGTAAGACTACCAATGGCTTCGTGTTTGAATCTACTGCCGGTGCTGTAGTAGGGGACCACATCACGCGTTACGAGTTTCATCTCGTAACGCTGTAACCACATCTCGCCAGTAGCTGTCGATTTTACGAATATTAACTTAGTTTTGTTTTGCTTGCATGGACAGCTTTTCGACAGAAGCACGTGCTAAGCTGCCCCCGCGGTGGAGATGAAAGATGTCAGACCTGTTATGCAACGTCGTTGTGTGGTCACAGCAGGGCAGCTGGGGTCTCGCCCGGAAGTCTCGGCCTGGTACCGGCCACCATTTCCGTTAAAAAACGACACTTGATAAATATTCATAAACTTGAATTTTATTATTGTGAAAAGGAACGCGAAATACCTCGTCCCACGTCCTTTTATGGAGCGCCAGTGACTGCATTGCCCATATGAGTGCTGTGGTCATGGTGGAAGTGGGATTCGAACCCATGATCCCCATGTGTACGTGGAAGATGGTAACCACTTGGCCACTGCCGCCCTGTCTTGAATCCGAACCACGTGACTCAACTGGTGCGCTCTTGATCAATGCAACAACATGGGCCCCAGACCGAGAGTCGCCCGCGCGCGCCATTCAAAGGAATCCCATTGAGTTGAGCCTTGCCCTGCACTCTATACGGCTATGCTCCGGCGCATTTCAGGTGGAGGAGGCGCAGGGCATCATGAAGCTCACCGACAAGCTCAAGGACGAGCGGGACCAGCTACGCCGAGCCAACGAGGGCTCGGTCTGGCACCAGGTGCGCCGCCAGCCCGCCCCACCCCGCCGCCGTCCGACCGCCGGGCGGCCGGCGCCGCGGCGTAACCCTGCGCCGCGGCGTGACCCTGCGCCGCGCCGGCGCCAGCGGATGTGCGGCTCACTGTTGGGGCTGGGCCGCTGCTGCCGGCTATGGTTGCGAGCGAGGGAAGGCGTCGGGCAAGACGGCAGACATCGCGGTACCGCTAGATGGTGGCTAGTTGATCTGTCGATCAGTGCTGTTCCCTCCATATGCCAGCGTGGTATGTGCAGTGGGTTGCACTGACTGGCTGTCGTGAAGGCATCGAGCGCAGCGCCGCAGGCGCCGGCCATCCAGTCAGCACGTGGCTGTCGTGAAGGCGTCGAGCGAAGCGCCGCAGGCGCCGGCAGCGCGCCCCGTCATGTTTGCCGCGGCCCTCGCGCTGAACCCCGCGCTGCCGCCGTAGACGAGCCGCCGCGGCGCGCCAGCCACGCGCTCCGCGCTGACCCCGTCCTCCCGGTTGTCTCCAGGCGGCCGAGATGGCTGCCTCGCAGGAGAAGCAGATGCAGGTGTGCGAGATATGCGGCTCCTTCCTCATCGTCGGCGACGCCCAGCAGCGCATCGACGACCACCTCACCGGCAAGATGCACATGGGCTACGCCCAGCTGCGCGACGCCATCGACGAGATGCGGGTGGGTTTGGCCGGGGCCCGCCGCCAGCTGCGGAGGCGTTCTCCTGTCGGCGGGGCGAAATCCGCGGCGGCGTAGGGCTTGTACGCCTAGAGGGCTGTCACGGGAGGGGGGCAGGGGGGGGGGGGGGGGGGGCGTGACGGAAGGTCGTCTGGGGTTTCGTGCGTTGCTCATTTAGTAAACGACGCTCTCATCCTCCCCTACCCCCGCCCCGCCCCGCCAAACACTGCGTGAGACCGGGGAGCACTTGTAATCATCGCCTGGTTAGCCAGAGATGCTTGCCTTTTGGCGTGCCAACTTGAACGCATCTTTGCTATGTGTGGGCGTTAGCTGGTCAGCTGTATGGAACGTTGTGCGATGGTCCATCCAGATTATTACGGAAGCATAGCTCAGTTGTCTTGTGGTTTCTTTCCCCCTTTCCTTGCTCACTGTACTGCGGTGGTCTCTTCTGTGCTAGCTCTTCCGCGTCATGTCCTCCCACGCGCCGTCTGGTCTGGACCCGTGCCGTCACCTGAGTTTGTCGGCGCGCCGCCAGGTGTCTCGCGAAAAGGAGAAGCACGACCGCGAGGCGAGGCGCGAGCAGGAGCGCGAGGAGCGCCGGCGCCGCGAGGAGGAGGAGCGCCGGAGGCGAGACGGTTCGCGCAACGGCCACCGCGACCGGGACCGCGGCAAGAGCGGGGACAAGGACAGAGACCGGGACAGGGGGAAGAGCCGGGATAAGGATAAGGACCGGGGAAAAAGTCGGGACAAGGATAGGAACAGGGGGGATAGTAGAGATAAAGACAGGGAGCGAGGCAAAAGCCCAGACAAAGAAAGGGACAGGGGTAAAAGCCGGGATAAGGATCGGGATAGGGACCGAGGCAAGAGCAGGGATAAGGATCGGGACAGGGAACGGGAAAAGGAGCGGGACAGAGACCGGAGAAGGGATCGGGACAGAGACCGTAAAAGGGACAGGAGCCGGGATAAAGACAGAGACCGAGACCGCGGACGGGACAAGGAGCGGGAGAGAGACAGCACCAGGGACCGAAGCCGGGACGTGGATCGCACGCGCGATCGGGATCGTGACAGAGACCGCGACAAAGATCGTCTCAGGCACAGGTGAGACGTTCGGGCTCATAGAAGTCATGTTTTGTCGGGGCTGTGCACGTGCGAGTGCGAAAAATGTTTGCCGGAAGTCCCGTCAACAATTGAGTGCGTGGATGGCTAAATGGGGCTATTGGACGTTTGCCGCGCATGGTCGGGCACTGCCGGCACTGTTCATTATTTCACTGATCGGTTTTCTGGTGTCGTGTATCGGGCCCAAGGTTTTTAACTTTTGCGATTATTTTCGCTCGCTATGTTATGTGAGTCAATTTTGGAACGGGTCACGTGCGAGACCCGCCCTCGATTCGACCGCGAAACGCGGGAATTTTGACGTGACTTGAGCGTGATGATGCGGATTGAGCTGGTACGCGAGACGGGGGTGTCTGTGCGGCCGGCAGGAGCCGGAGCCGGGACCGGCAGCGGAGCCGCGACCGGGAGCGGCGCAGGAGCCGCGACAGGGAGCGGCGCCGGAGCCGCGAGCGGAGCCACCGCTCCTCGCGCCGCTCCCGCACGCGCAGGTGAGGCGGCCCGGCCTGCTGGTCGTGGCGGCGCATTGCGACCTGCCTTTCGAGCCACGGGTTTGGGAGACTTGTGCTGTGGGGAAATCGCTTCCAGCGACGAGGGCTTGGGAATTTTTATCATCTAGTTACGCTGTGCAATATAATTTATCTTGTTTTTGTCGTTCGGAAATGGGAGTAGTCCTCGATGGGAAACAAATGACGCTCATTACTAACCTGGCTCGAATTCGATCCAGTAGATCCAAATTTTTCTGAAATTGGTGATTTGAATTCATTTTTGATGATACGAAGAGTGATTACCCACGTGTACATCGAACCTTGGTCCGTCGAGAATTTCTGATATGTACCGCAATAAAACCCTGTAATCGTGGCAGCTTATGTCAGAACCTCAAGTATTTCACACCCGTCGTATATTCCATACACACATAGAAGCTTAGAATACACCTTTACGCAGCTTCAGCATGAGTCCCTGTGCGCCTTCCGGGACCAGACACCGGACTCCAGCAGTAGTGTGCCACCTGACTTGTGCCCATTTTGCCACGATCTCTTCCATCACTGCAGTGTCTTGGTGAAAGTGCTCTCCCTGCTGGTCACTGCACATCTCGGCTGTCTCTCAGGCAGACGAAACAGCATAATTTAGTGAAAGCACCTTGTAAGCTTATAAACAGGCCGACTGCATTAAAATCTCAACATATCTTCTATCATAATTCCTCATGTTAGGTCAGGTTCATGATCTTGCGTGGATTGCATTTGCATGCATGATTTTGACTGATTTTTGACTTGATTGATTTTGTATTTGATGCTATTTTGAATGCATGCACGAATTTGTATGCTTTTTTATTTCATGATCAAAAACTGAAGGTAAGCTTGGCATGTCATTTCCATTATGGAACAGAACGGCACTCAGTCCTGATTCGCTGACATCAATTAAAAATTGCCACTCATCGGCGTCATGCTCCTTTCCCAACGCACCAAGAAGAGCAGGCCTTTAACACGTGAATCATGTGGGCTAGTAGGGAAAGGACGCCGTAGAGCGGCTGTGCCACCGGCATACTTCGGTGGGTTGGGGTAGGGGGGGGGGGGGGGGATTCCACAGATCTGGTCGCAGATGAGACATCCGAAGACGTTACGCTTTCTCTGCTCGGGGCCGTGAACCCGTCACGCTTGTGATGGAGGAGCGATTGAGGTGTGTCCCGTGGGCTCCCTCCGCGCCGTTAGGACCGCAAGTGGCAGACGTACTTTCGTGCCGGCAAACCAGTTGCCGAGCGAATTGGAGCACGTGGCGCAACGTATGTGAGTTGTGTCGGTCGCCTTCTTTTACGCAGAAATAGCGAAATTCACGAACACCGTTATGGCACGTCTCCGCTGTTTTGAAGTGAAACGACTATGTACATGGTAAATCAGGTCAGCTTACAGTCCCGAGTTCGTCACTCGTCGGCGCGATCGCGCGGCGTCGCCCTGACCACCCCGACACACGCCTGTTGTCCCGGCTCGCGCAGTCGGGGCCCCGGCACCGGACGTCCACCGGGAGACCACCTGATTGTAGGAAGAAGTGCTACCGGGGGACGAACGTTTCTTACTGAAACAACACTTCCAGCTATAACCACAGCTAGCAAATTTGGCGCGAGTTTGGCGCACCTACGAGCTGGAGTGTATAGGTGCATTAGGCAGGTCATGCTATATGGGGTTATGTGTAAAGATGGCGTGTTATTTTCGGAAAACTGAGCCTGCTAGGGCAAAACTGAGCTAAAAAGTAATAGTTGGAATCGGCACAGTGAAACGGGCAAGGAACGCGTAACAAGATATCTGAGCGGTAATCACTGTTGCGCAGCATAATCGGGGCTGAGGTATCTCGGAGCTCGGCGGGCGGGGCCCGTGTCCAAGACTTTGTGTTGATTGATGAACATGTGTGCACTTTCCAGACATTTTGTTTGTTTCGTTCCCAGGCGGCGATTTAATGTGGATTATGCGGTCCGTGTCAAATCGTCCTCACGTTTATTTGATGAGTTCGAGGTTTTTGGCTTCCCTGCATCCTTTTTGGCTTCTATGTGATGAGAACGAACGGTTATATGGACGTGCGCGGCATTTGCTTAATTTCCAGCCATCAGCGTTGGATTCTAAGCATACCCGTTTGTTTTCAGCCGAAGCCCTAGACGCTCCAAAGATAGGCGCGACTCAAAAGGACGGCGAACGTCAAAGGACAGGCGCGACTCCAAGGAGCGCAGAAACTCCAGAGATCAGCGTAGCTCCAAGGACAGACGCGATTCCAAGGACAGACGCGATTCCAAGGACAGACGCGACTCCAAAGACAGACGCGACTCCAAGGACAGACGCGACTCCAAGGACAGACGTGACTCTGACTCTAGGGACAGACGTGACTCTAAGGACGGGCGTGACTCCAAGGATGGAGACGATTCCAAGAAAAGGCATGGATCCAAGGATCGTGCTGACTCAGAGGAGCGACTCGACTCCAGAGAGGAACAAGACTCAAAGGAAGTCTCAAAGGATGAAGATGTTCCCATGGATCAAGACGGCTTAAGCGGTCAAACGGCCTCGAAGGAAGGACCATGTACAGCGACGAATGACACGGATGGTGAAAACAAAGGTAGTGCCTTTTGGTAGTGGTTAACGATTGTGTGGATTGGTGCACTGAACAAATGCTTTTCGTATCTTAATGTCACAGCCTTGATGAGCATGGGTTGTGGCGCTCAGCACTAAGGACTGACACCAGGCTGTGAATACCAATTTAAGTTTACATTGCAAGGTCCTGGGGTAAAAAGTGTTCATCTTAAATGCAGATGGACTACTATAAATCTTGGAGATTGGGGTCTTATTTTAAGTATGTATATCTTGCTTTGTGTGTACTGGAATTGTCAGGAGGCGTTTTCCTGTCAGCATAGTTTTGATCGAGTTCTTCGAGTCTCCTGGTAGCGCATTTTGGACGGTGGCGGGTCCTCAGCAGGAATGGCTTCCGAATCGCTTCTAAATATGTCATTACCGTGCGGGTCTCTACTATTTAACTGTGACCACAGTTTCTGGATATATATAGTATATATATATATATATATATATATATATATATATATATATCTCTCTCTCTCTCTCTCTCTCTCTCTCTCTCTCTCTCTCTCTCTCTCTCTCTCTCTCTCTCTCTCTCTCTCTCTCTCTCACTCTCTCTCTCTCTCTCTCTCTCTCTCTCTCTCTCTCTCTCTCTCTCTCTCTCTCTCTCTCTCTCTCTCTCTCTCTCTCTCTCTCTCTCTCTCTCTCTCTCTCTCTCTCTCTCTCTCTCTCTCTCTCTCTCTCTCTCTCTCTCTCTCGCTCTCGCTCTCGCTCTCGCTCTCTCGCTCTCTCGCTCTCCCGCTCTCTCGCTTTCTCTCTCTCTCGCTCTGCCTACCACGGGTCCAAAGCTGGATCTGCTGGTATGCAACATCACTGAGAGTAGCTGTGTCTCGGTTGACGAGCTGACCGGGCCGGCTCGGGGTCGCCAGACGCTGGCGGGCCCGTGTCGGGCGCCACCGGCGGCCCTCCCGCGGCGCCTAGCCCGCCGTCCGCCCAGTCTGCCGCCGCCGCCGCCGCCGCTCCCGCCGCCGCCGCCGCCGCCGCGCCCGCCGCCGCCACGCCAGGTGACGAGTGATGGTGGCCTCCAGGTAAGCACCGTCGCCGGCCGCGCGCGCCGCCCCTCTAACGCCGCCGCCCGCCGTTTGCAGGTGGAGCCCGAGCAGGTGAGGTGGTGTGCGGGCAGGGGTGGGCTGCTCCAGGCTGGCGGAGGCGCGGCGAGGCCTGTCAGGGCTGTGGAGGTCGACGCTGTCGTGTGACGCGGGATGTGGGTGGGCTCCAGGAGTGTCCTGGGAGTGATTCCACCGCCGGATGCGACGTGAATAGAGCCCTGTGTGCGTCTGGACCCTTGTGGGTGGTTAAGCGGCGTCGCAGGAGGCGGTGATTGTGTTTTGACTGTCTGTGTTGCCGTGTAGCGGCACGTTGGTTTGGAGTTGGCCGACGTATCAAATTGCAGCAGATTCGGAGCCGTGACAATGCCAGCGACAGCTGCCGTGTCTTGTGTGTCGCCGTGGCGGTGTAATTGGGAAGCCAGGGACATTGGCACCAGAAAGCGGTGTGAGGAGGCGGTGACGTGTTTGGACTCATGTGCTTGTCCATCTTTCATCAACTTATATTGATGTCAGTGGTGCGAACGTGATGTGTGAAACTTTTTTGTTTTGTTTTTTGTTCCGTGTTTTCGGGAAACTGAGGGCGGGCCGTGTTGTAGAGATGCCTTCGGAATGCGAGTAACCTCTTAATTTTCTGTATGGTTTTGTTTAACAAAGGCCTGGTTGAAAATGGGGTCTTTGAGACGGAGCTTCAACCGGATTGTTCTCTGTCCATCAAACTTCTATCAATTGCGCGAGTGGTTTGTGTGATGCAGTGAATCTAAACTCCCAGGCTCCGCACGGTAACTCCTGCCCTGCTAAAACCAGACGATTACCCCCCAAGATACCTTTTCAGTGCTGCAGTGGTCACGTATGCGCGTGGCGGTGACATGTGAGAAGTGATCGTGAGCGGTTGTAACCCGTCAGCTCAGGCCGGCGTGGTTGCTTTCCCACCTGTTTCCCATCGGACTGGGTTTTCAGCTCGGCTCCGCCGCGCGTGCTGCCGTGCTGTGACGTGTGTGCGGACTGACCGGGCGCGCCAGTGTTGTAGCGTTGGCGGGTCGTCCGATGTTAGGGGTCGCGCGTGACAGCCGGCGGCGACGGTGGCTCCCTCTGAGGTGGGTCCGAAACACAGTCCCCAGCCCCCCTCCGTCTTCTCTCTCGAGTTCATTGCGGCGTGCTTTCAAAAGGAGCCGGCTGCAGCCGCGCTGAGCGACCTTTCCTCACATGTAGAGGCGCGTCGGTTCCCGTCTGCTCAAGCTGTTTGAGGCGTGCACTTCTCACTTCATGCAGCAGCCGTCTCGGGCTAGGCTGTTTTTCATGTTTGTTGTGAAGAGCACAGGTTGAAGCAACAGGTGTAATCTCGTCACCCTCGTAGCAACCGTCGCGAGGTAATCTGTCATTTTCAAGACCACGGGTTGAAGCAAACTAACACGTTTCCTAGTCATATTCTGACTTAACGTGGCTGTCGTTAAGTCTTGTGGCAAGTGCTTGACTGTCAAACTCAAGCCGGTTCGTTCGCCCACTTCCAGTCATCTCGGCTCTCTTGGGGTATTTTAGCTTAATGTCTCATCAACGACCTGAATCCCGACTGCTCAGTGATCTTCCGTTTCAATTGAGACGGACGTGCACGTAAACTCCCGGAGCCGCGCTGCTCGTGCTTCCGCCCACTCTCACCAACTACTCACCTGACCGAGGCACGCCACTGGGGGTGCCGCCTCGCCGTAAAATGCACGCTCGCGCGGCGGCCGACCGTCGACGGCTGTGATGCGCCTCACCTTGACCTCGGACGCCCCTGCGCGTATTGGCCTGAGGTCAGTCTGCGGCGGGGTGCGCGGCCGGCGCTGCCTGGCGTTCGTTTCCAGGAGCTGTCGGGCGGGCGTCGGAGCCGTGTCCAGGTGACCGCGGGGTGTCGGCTCGCGCGACGTTGACGGGTGTGGCGGGCGGGGGCTCGCGCCCGCATCCCGGCACCGCCCCCCGCCTATCATCAGCGCATTAAAGTCAGGCATCGAAGCCGCCGTTAACGGGGGTGCGAACCGACGGCGGGCGCATCCTAGAGCTCAAATGATTAGTGGCGGCTTGGTGACGTAGCCAGAGAGGGGCTCCGTGGGTGGCGCGAGCCGGGATGCGGGCGCCCCGCCCGGTACGGTGACATCAGACTGGGAGGCTGTTCGACCGATCCCAGGTGGGAGACCAGAGTGCGCCGTCGTCCACGGTGGAGGCTGCGCCGCGGGCGAGCGGGCGTGGCAGCTCGGAGAGCCGGTTGGAGCGCGTGTTTATACATGTGCTTGTTCGAACCGCAGCCTCCACTGTGTGACCTGTGGGCGGCCTGCCGGCGTTTCGGCCTCGGGTGCACCGTTTAGCTCCGCCCTCGGTTTTCCAGTCGCGGGCCTGGCGTGGCCGCTCTCGAGGTAAGCCCGACACCTAGCGGCAGGCGGCGAAGCTCAAGTTTGCCGGGCGACGGTGGGCGCCGCCTGTGGCCCGGACAACTGAACGGACGGCGGCCGCTGCGGACGGCCGTTTCCCGGTTGGTGCGACAGCGTGACCATGTGTGGGATGTGGCGTGGCTAGCCGGAGCCGCGGCTGCTGCCTGCCTGGCTTGTCATGGCGTTGGTTCGCGATGACGTTTGCTATTGTTGCGCTACGTAGTCCTAGTTCATGTTTCCGAGTCGCAATTCCGTGCGTGCATCAGTTTTCCGTGCGTTTGCACTCTGTGCGCTGTGTGCGTTCACGCAGTCCCAGTGCGTCGTTGCGCATTTTCTGCAGTCATAATCAATTGTAGGTAGAAATACATGGCTGAGACGATATGAGCTGCGTCTTCGTGACTGCACAGAAAAGCTCGCTGTGATCTGGCCTGAATCTACACGTCTTCGAGCCATACAGAACTGTGAACGGC